AGGGGCGTGGGTGAGTGCAGGGAGCCCCCCGTCCACCCAAAGGGAGGGGGGGGCTGTTGTGCCACAGGGCATCGTGCTCGTCTGGTGGGTGCTGAGGGGTCTCAAGTCAAAGCCAAACCCCGAGGTTTGGTGGAGGAGAAGCTGGACATGAGCAGGCAGTGGGCAGCTGCAGCCCAGAAGGCCAATCCCATCCTGGGCTGCATCAAAAGCTGCGTTGCCAGCAGGTCCAGAGAGGGGATTCTGCCACTTTACTCTGCTCTGGTGAGACCTCACCTGGAGTATTGTGTGCAGGGCTGGAGCCCTCAATAGAAGAAGGACATGGACCTGATGGAGAGGGTCCAGAGGAGGGCCACGAGGATGATCAGGGGGATGGAGCACCTCTGCTCCGAGGACAGGCTGAGGGAGCTGGGGTTGGTCAGCCTGGAGAAGAGGAGGCTCCGGGGAGACCTAATAGCAGCCTTCCAGTACCTGAAGGGAGCCTACAGGAAGGCTGGGGAGAGCCTGTTTAGAAAGGCCTGCAGTGACAGGACGAGGGACAATGGCTTCAAGCTGGAGGGGAACAGCTTTAGACTGGAGATGAGGAGAGGGTTCTTCACTGGGAGGGTGGTGGAGCACTGGGACAGGTTGCCCAGGGAGGTGGTTGAGGCCCCTTCCCTGGAGATATTCAAGGAGAGGCTCGAGGAGGCCCTGGGCAACCTGGTCTAGTTGGGGGTGTCCCTGCTGACTGCGGGGGGGTGGGACTAGATGGCCTTTGGAGGTCCCTTCCAGCCTGGGCAATTCTATGATTCTATGATAGGTGAGCACTTTTTGGCCACCAGGCAGCTTGTGCCAGGCTACGGAGGGGCTGCTGGGCCACCCTGTCCTCCCACTGCTGTACCCTGTGGCCACCCCATGCGCAGGGAGAGATGTGGGGGGGAACCCTCGTGCTTCTTTCCCCCCCATAAATCCCCTTGGATTGCCAAAGCTTGGCTCGCTCCCCTCCCACCGCCGCAGAGAGCGGGGCCTGGAGGCTGAGACGTTGATGGAAGAGCTCGCTCGTGCAGATCGACTCAGTGGAGCTCATCTGTCTTGACGTGGGGAGAGCATCGTCCCTGGCGGGTGTGGGTTGAGGAGGGCTTCTTCCCAGCCCCGTTCAAATCCTTGGGGGCCTTGGCATCTGGTCAGACCCCCCCTGTTGCTGGCAGGAGCCTTGTTTTGCTCTCCTCACACCTGTGTTTTTGTGTCTCTATATATTTTTTTTTCCTCTTCTCTCTCCATTAGCTGCTGCTAGAAGAATACGCAAACAGCGACCCCAAACTGGCACTTACAGGCATCCCCATCGTCCAGTGGCCCAAGAGAGATAAGGTAGGAGCTGCGAGGAGGGCACCTGGGGTGGATGTTGTGTGTGGTTGAGCTGGTGACCTGCCATCGTGGTGTGGTGGCATCGCTTCCGTACCCACCTGGGGGGGTGGAACCAGTGGGCAGAAGGGGAGCAGCGCAGAGAGCAGGCCATGAGGACACAACCACCTCCCCAGCACCACAGGAAAACCTGTTTGCTGGCACTGGTGGGTGTCTCCCACCCTGCTGGTTACCCCAACTCAGCTGATGGGTGGTAACTGGGTCAGCCCCAGCTGCTCCATGTTCTCCAGCCCCTCGGTCGCACTGGGAGAAACTGGAGCCCTGCTTTGGGTGGAAGGGAGGATCTTCTAAAAGGAGCTCTGTGACTTGATGAGGGACCTCCTGGGTGATATGAGTGTGTGGCAGGGGAATGTATTGCTGTTGCCTTCCCCAAGAGATGAAGTGTGAGGGGTTGATGATCAGCATCAACCTTGGCTGGTGGGCAGGCTCACTCAGTCCAGTGAGCGTGTCCCTTGGCTCCTAGCATGATGCTGGGGCTGTAGCACTGGTTCTTTCAACCCCAAGGAAGGCAGCTCCCTCCTGGGGACTATCTGCAGGTAGAGACCTTTCCCTTTTTCTTGGGAAAATGACCTTTCGGTGCCCCCCTGCCCTTCTTCCTCTCGTAACCCAGGGCCCAAAGCTGAGCTCACTGGGCAGATGGAGGTGAGGAGCAGCTTGTTTCTGGCTGGCCGGACTTCCCCTCCACAGGCTGCCTTCCCCCAGCCTGTCAGGATGGCTCCCGTAGCTCCCTGCTTCCTTCCTGCCCGGAGACGGGCTCACCGGGCCAGGCCTGTGGGATAGCAGGACCCCATCGTGCTGGGAAGGGTGGGTAACACCCCATCGGGGTGTCTGGAGACAAACAAGCGTCTCGGATTTGCCCTTTGGAGGTGCCTGTCTCTACCCGCCTGCCCTGCCCAAGGGAATCCAGTGTGATTTCCTGGGTCCTTGAGCCACACAGGCCCCATCCCTGGAGGTGTTCAAAAGACGGGTTGATGTAGTGCTGGGAGGTCTGGTTTAGTGATGATGCTCCTTGTTTGTTGTGTGGGTGTCTATTTTTGTCAGTTAGGTTGATGGTTGGCCAAGATGATCTTTAAGGTCCCTTCCAACCTAGAAAATTCTGTGATTCTGTGATCTCGGGCAGCTTTTCTGGGAGAAAAGACCTAGAGATGTCTACACGCTTTGGACACAGCACTCAGATGCTTGGAACATCCCCGACCCTGTCCTTGTGGTGGGTTTTTTGGGGTGCCTGCCCTTCCCCAAGCACGTCAGCTGTGGTGGGGACACACCATCCATCCTGGCCGATCCCAGAAGGATGCTATATGGGCTGGTGGGATGTGTGGTGGCAAGTGTCTGCTGGACAGCTCTGTTGTCCCACCTGCAGCTTTGGGTGTTCCCCAAAGAGTGACCAGGACACTCATATCAAAGCTGACCCCTGTCCCCTCTCACAGCTGACTTTTTTTGGAGCACCATGATGCTTTTAGAACTCAGCAGCCCTTTTCAGACCCATTTATGACTCCTGCTGGTGGGGGGAAGGATGGAGAGCTCTTGGTGTGGGGTTGGAAAGGCTTGAGTGAGCACGTTGGAGGAGAAGCTGCTCAAGGCAGCTCCGATACAGCCTCCTTTTGTGAGGGAGTGGGGCTGCCCTTTATTTTAGGTCGCAGCGAGTGAGCTGGGGATCAGAGTCTTCCTCATTCAAGCCGAAGGTGACGTTTCCCTCATCTCAAGGCGTTCCCCTCTCTCTTTCTGTTGCCAGCTAAAGCTCCAGGCCCGGCTGAGGGTACGCCTGCCCACCATCCCCATCACTAAGCCTCACACCATGAAGCCAACCCCTCGCCCGACCCCCGTCAGGTCTACGGTCTCTCCCATCGTGTCAGGCGCCAGGCGGAGGCGGGTGCGGTGCCGAAAATGCAAGGCTTGCATGCAGGGCGAGTGTGGCATGTGCCACTACTGCAGGGACATGAAGAAATTCGGTGGGCCTGGCCGCATGAAGCAGTCCTGCGTCCTCCGGCAGTGCTTAGCGGTGAGTCTGCGGCTCAATCCTTTTCTCAGAAGTCTTCTGCAGCCTGGCAACCACTCTGCGTGGCCGATGAGGGTCAGAGAGAGGAGAGCAGTGCCCAAGTTTGATGTCCTGGGGGGAAGGGAGGGGAATAGTTGACCTTTTTCCTTGTACTTTTGGGGTGTATTAAAAAGAATGTGGCCAGCGCATCGAGGGAGGTCATCCTCCCCCTCTACTCGATGGACTCGATGGTCTCAGATGATCTCAGAGGTCCCTTCCAACCACTAAGATTATGTGATTCTGTGATACTCGGCCCTGGTGAGGCCACATCTGGAGTATGGGGTCCAGTTCTGCCCTCCTCCCCAGTTCAAGAAGGACTGGAGCACCTCTGCTACGAGGACAGGCTGAGGGAGCTGGGGTTGTTCAGCCTGAAGAAGAGGAGGCTCCAGGGAGACCTAATAGCACCTTCCAGTACCTGAGGGGAGCCTACAGGAAGGCTGGGGAGAACCTGTTTAGAAAGGCCTGCAGTGACAGGACGAGGGGCAATGGCTTCAAGCTGGAGGGGAACAGCTTTAGACTGGAGATGAGGAGAGGGTTCTTCACTGGGAGGGTGGTGGAGCACTGGAACAGGTTGCCCAGGGAGGTGGTTGAGGCCCCATCCCTGGAGATATTCAAGGAGAGGCTCGATGAGGCCCTGGGCAACCTGGTCTAGTTGGGGGTGTCCCTGCTGACTGCGGAGGGGTCGGACTAGATGACCTTTGGAGGTCCCTTCCAGCCTGGGCAATTCTATGATTCTATGACTGGAGAGAGTCCAGCAGAGGGCTATGAAGATGGTCAAGGGACTGGAGCATCTCTGCTGAGGAAAGGCTGAGAGCCCTGGGGCTGTTCAGCCTGGAGAAGAGAAGACAGAGGGGATCTCATCGATGTTGAGCAATATCTAAAGGGTGGGTGGCAAGAAGATGGGGCCAGACTCTTCTCAGTGGTGCTCAGTGACAGGACAGGGGCCAACGGGCACAAACTGGAACATGGGAAATTCTGTTTCAACATGAGGAAAAATTTCTTCACTGTGAAGGTGGCAGAGCCCTGGAAGAGGCTGCCCAGGGAGGTGGTGGAGTCCCCTTCTCTGGAGATATTCCAAACCTGCCTAGATGGGTTCCTGGATGTGCAACCTGCTCTGGATGACCCTGCTTTGACAGGGGGTTAGACTAGATGATCTCCAGAGGTCCCTTCCAACCCCAACTATCCTGTGATTCTGAACCATTCCCCATGATTCAAGCGATGAGGGAGAGGAGGAGGAGGAGGAAAGGGACAAGGCTGTCCCACCTCACCCTGGTTTCACCCCTGCTTTCCTTTGTAGCCCAGGCTGCCTCACTCGGTCACATGTGCACTTTGTGGGGAGGTGGATCAGAACGAGGACTCGCAGGACTTTGAGAAGAAGCTCATGGAGTGCTGTATCTGCAACGAGATCGTTCACCCTGGCTGCCTGCAGGTGAGAAGCGTGGGGCGCCGGGGCAGGGGGAGCTCAGCCATGGGGAAGGACTGCTGCTGACTGCCCTCTTCTCTTGGCAGATGGACGGGGAAGGGCTGCTCAATGATGAGCTCCCCAACTGCTGGGAGTGTCCCAAATGCTACCAGGGTGACGACGCAGAGAAAGGCCAGGTAGGAGGCGAGCTGTGCTGTGGCAAGGCAGGGTGCAGGACAAGGGGGAAGGGTTTGACACGGAAATAGGGGAGATTGAGATGAGATCTGGGGAAGAAATTGTTTCCTGTGAGGGTGGTGAGACCCCTGGCCCAGGTTGCCCTGAGAAACTGTGGCTGCCCCATCCCTGGAGGGGTTCAAGGCCAGGTTGGAGGGGGCTTGGAGCTCCCTCCAAGACCAAGCTTGGGGCTTGGTCTTCTGGGAGGTGCCCCCCCATAATGGAACTGGATGATCTTGAAGGTCCCTTCCAACCCAAACCATTCGATGATGCGTGTCCTCCATCCCATGGCATCCTGCCGGGATGCAGGCACTGTTCAGCCAGACTGGGCTGCACAGAGGGCAGGCAGGCACCAGTGCAATCCAGTTGGGCAGTGACTGGTGAGAGTGGGGGTCACTGGGGGTGCAGCACAGCAGCCCTTGGGGTCCTGGTAGCATCCTGCTGCGATCTGGTCCTGGGTTCCTTCAGGGGGGACAAGCTGACACCCCCTGCTCTCTGTCCCTGGCTCCCAGAGAGCCCGTCAAAAGGGCAAGAGCAGGCTCCTGCTGAAGCAGCAGCCAGGTTCCTCCACCAGGCAGCAAGCAGTTTGTGTGCGGCGGCAACTGGCCCGCTGGCAACTGCCAGCCCTGCCCAGGACACCAGCCACCAGCTGCAGCATCACCTGCAGGACCGTGCCCGCTGCTGCGGATGGAAGTGCAGCCCCTAAGGCAAGCCAGGACGGGGAGCAACCTCCCTGGGGCACCTTCTCCTGGGTGATGTGCATGCTTGGGGGGCTCATCTGCCTGGTTCCTGGGTCCCCCCAGCACTTGGAGGAGATGTGAGGAGCACCCTTTGTCCACCACGGTGTCTTGTGCTGAGCTGTGATCCCGAGTTTCCCCCACAAGTGGTGAGAGACCCTTAGGCACGGAGTGGAAGCCACCCCTGTGACCTCAGGGGACACCCCCTTTGTGAAGGAGGAAGGAAAATGCTGGTTGCTGGTGTGGATGAACTCTTGGTCCTGGTGGTCCTGGGCGCTACTGGTGCAGACCCTGCGTGCTGTCCTGGGGAAGAAGAGGGAAGCCTAGGGGAGGAGGACCCTTCCCCAGGAGGACCTGGGGAAGGGGGACCTGGGGGCTTGGGGACAGACGGGGACTGGAAACGGGGAGGTTTCTAACCACTGAGCAGCAGGAATGGCACAATGGGAAAGGACTGGCCCGCTTTCATCAGGGGCCGGTGGGAATGGTGGCTGGAGGAGAGCATCCCCCACCTGCCACTGGTGTGACACCTTCAGGGGAGCTGCCATCGGGTCTCCTGGGGGACAGGAGGAGTTTGTGGCACCTCCAGGAGGACCTGGGGAAGCCCCGGGTCCTCCGTGGCTCCATCCCCGCTAACCTCCCTCCCCTCTTCCCCGCAGAAACGGAAGGTGGAGGAGAGCGACGACGACACGGCGCAAGCCAAGGTGCTGCGGCCCCTGCGGAGTTGCGAGGAGCCCCTGACCCCCCCACCCAACTCGCCCACCCCCATGCTGCAGCTCATCCACGACCCGGCTTCACCCCGAGGGGTGGTGACGCGCTCATCCCCGGGGGCTGGCCCCAGCGACCACCACAGCGCCAGCAGAGACGAACGCTTCAAGCGACGGCAGCTCCTGCGGCTCCAGGCCACCGAGAGAACCATGGTGAGGGAGAAGGAGAACAACCCCAGCGGCAAGAAGGAGCTGTCGGAGGTGGAGAAGGCCAAGCTCCACGGCTCCTACCTCACCGTCACCCTTCAACGCCCCACCAAAGACGTCCACGGCACTTCTATCGTCCCCAAGCTGCAAGCCATCACCGCCTCCTCCACCAACCTGCAGCACTCTCCACGGGTGGTCATGCGCCACCCGCCCACCAGGATGCCCCTCCGGGGGGGCGGTGGGGAGGAGGAGGCAGCGGCGGCAGCTGCCGAGGAGGAGGAGGAGGAAGAGGAAGAGGAGGACGAGAACGCGGAGGAAGGGGGGGCGGCCCGGCTCAACGGCCGAGGGGGCCGGGCGCAGGAGGGCGAGGAGAGCTGGATGCAGCGCGAGGTGTGGATGTCCGTCTTCCGCTACCTCACCCGCAGGGAGCTCTGCGAGTGCATGCGGGTGTGCAAGACCTGGTACAAGTGGTGAGTGAGTGGTGGGGACACGTGGTGGCACCTTGGGGAGGGGGCACAGCCAGCCCTGGCACACGTTCTGGCTCCTGGACCAGGCGCAGCCACGCCATTTTGTCGGGCAACGTTGTCCTCAGACATGTCAAGCTGGAGGGGAACAGCTTTAGACTGGAGATGAGGAGAGGGTTCTTCACTGGGAGGGTGGTGGAGCACTGGAACAGGTTGCCCAGGGAGGTGGTTGAGGCCCCTTCCCTGGAGATATTCAAGGAGAGGCTCGAGGAGGCCCTGGGCAACCTGGTCTAGTTGGGGGTGTCCCTGCTGACTGCGGGGAGGTTGGACTAGATGGCCTTTGGAGGTCCCTTCCATCCTGGACAATTCCATGATTCTATGATGTCCTCTACTGTAGGTACGCTGGTCTTTATTGTCCCCTTCCTCCTGTCCCTTCTGTTGGGAGATGGTGGCAGGCTGTGCTGTCACCTGAGCACCTGTGTCCCCTTGCTGTGTCCTTGCCAGGTGCCCATGTCCTTTTCTCAGCTGCCACCCGGCAGAGTCCTTGTCCTTCCCTGCTTCCCCTCCTGCCTCGGCCTCCCAGCCGGGCTGGGATGGGTTTACTGGTTTGGAAACGCCTCGGTGGGGGGTGACAGGCCTGAAGACAATGCTGGCAGCGGGACAGCTGGGGATGGAGGGCTTGGGGACAGATGGGGACTGGAAAAGGGGAGGTTTCTAACCACTGAGCAGCAGGAATGGCACAATGGGAAAGGACTGGCCCGCTTTCATCAGGGGCTGGTGGGAATGGTGGCTGGAGGAGAGCATCCCTCCAAGACCAAGCTTGGGGCTTGGTCTTCTGGGAGGTGCCCCCCCATAATGGAACTGGATGATCTTGAAGGTCCCTTCCAACCCAAACCATTCGATGATGCGTGTCCTCCATCCCATGGCATCCTGCCGGGATGCAGGCACTGTTCAGCCAGACTGGGCTGCACAGAGGGCAGGCAGGCACCAGTGCAATCCAGTTGGGCAGTGACTGGTGAGAGTGGGGGTCACTGGGGGTGCAGCACAGCAGCCCTTGGGGTCCTGGTAGCATCCTGCTGCGATCTGGTCCTGGGTTCCTTCAGGGGGGACAAGCTGACACCCCCTGCTCTCTGTCCCTGGCTCCCAGAGAGCCCGTCAAAAGGGCAAGAGCAGGCTCCTGCTGAAGCAGCAGCCAGGTTCCTCCACCAGGCAGCAAGCAGTTTGTGTGCGGCGGCAACTGGCCCGCTGGCAACTGCCAGCCCTGCCCAGGACACCAGCCACCAGCTGCAGCATCACCTGCAGGACCGTGCCCGCTGCTGCGGATGGAAGTGCAGCCCCTAAGGCAAGCCAGGACGGGGAGCAACCTCCCTGGGGCACCTTCTCCTGGGTGATGTGCATGCTTGGGGGGCTCATCTGCCTGGTTCCTGGGTCCCCCCAGCACTTGGAGGAGATGTGAGGAGCACCCTTTGTCCACCACGGTGTCTTGTGCTGAGCTGTGATCCCGAGTTTCCCCCACAAGTGGTGAGAGACCCTTAGGCACGGAGTGGAAGCCACCCCTGTGACCTCAGGGGACACCCCCTTTGTGAAGGAGGAAGGAAAATGCTGGTTGCTGGTGTGGATGAACTCTTGGTCCTGGTGGTCCTGGGCGCTACTGGTGCAGACCCTGCGTGCTGTCCTGGGGAAGAAGAGGGAAGCCTAGGGGAGGAGGACCCTTCCCCAGGAGGACCTGGGGAAGGGGGACCTGGGGGCTTGGGGACAGACGGGGACTGGAAACGGGGAGGTTTCTAACCACTGAGCAGCAGGAATGGCACAATGGGAAAGGACTGGCCCGCTTTCATCAGGGGCCGGTGGGAATGGTGGCTGGAGGAGAGCATCCCCCACCTGCCACTGGTGTGACACCTTCAGGGGAGCTGCCATCGGGTCTCCTGGGGGACAGGAGGAGTTTGTGGCACCTCCAGGAGGACCTGGGGAAGCCCCGGGTCCTCCGTGGCTCCATCCCCGCTAACCTCCCTCCCCTCTTCCCCGCAGAAACGGAAGGTGGAGGAGAGCGACGACGACACGGCGCAAGCCAAGGTGCTGCGGCCCCTGCGGAGTTGCGAGGAGCCCCTGACCCCCCCACCCAACTCGCCCACCCCCATGCTGCAGCTCATCCACGACCCGGCTTCACCCCGAGGGGTGGTGACGCGCTCATCCCCGGGGGCTGGCCCCAGCGACCACCACAGCGCCAGCAGAGACGAACGCTTCAAGCGACGGCAGCTCCTGCGGCTCCAGGCCACCGAGAGAACCATGGTGAGGGAGAAGGAGAACAACCCCAGCGGCAAGAAGGAGCTGTCGGAGGTGGAGAAGGCCAAGCTCCACGGCTCCTACCTCACCGTCACCCTTCAACGCCCCACCAAAGACGTCCACGGCACTTCTATCGTCCCCAAGCTGCAAGCCATCACCGCCTCCTCCACCAACCTGCAGCACTCTCCACGGGTGGTCATGCGCCACCCGCCCACCAGGATGCCCCTCCGGGGGGGCGGTGGGGAGGAGGAGGCAGCGGCGGCAGCTGCCGAGGAGGAGGAGGAGGAAGAGGAAGAGGAGGACGAGAACGCGGAGGAAGGGGGGGCGGCCCGGCTCAACGGCCGAGGGGGCCGGGCGCAGGAGGGCGAGGAGAGCTGGATGCAGCGCGAGGTGTGGATGTCCGTCTTCCGCTACCTCACCCGCAGGGAGCTCTGCGAGTGCATGCGGGTGTGCAAGACCTGGTACAAGTGGTGAGTGAGTGGTGGGGACACGTGGTGGCACCTTGGGGAGGGGGCACAGCCAGCCCTGGCACACGTTCTGGCTCCTGGACCAGGCGCAGCCACGCCATTTTGTCGGGCAACGTTGTCCTCAGACATGTCAAGCTGGAGGGGAACAGCTTTAGACTGGAGATGAGGAGAGGGTTCTTCACTGGGAGGGTGGTGGAGCACTGGAACAGGTTGCCCAGGGAGGTGGTTGAGGCCCCTTCCCTGGAGATATTCAAGGAGAGGCTCGAGGAGGCCCTGGGCAACCTGGTCTAGTTGGGGGTGTCCCTGCTGACTGCGGGGAGGTTGGACTAGATGGCCTTTGGAGGTCCCTTCCATCCTGGACAATTCCATGATTCTATGATGTCCTCTACTGTAGGTACGCTGGTCTTTATTGTCCCCTTCCTCCTGTCCCTTCTGTTGGGAGATGGTGGCAGGCTGTGCTGTCACCTGAGCACCTGTGTCCCCTTGCTGTGTCCTTGCCAGGTGCCCATGTCCTTTTCTCAGCTGCCACCCGGCAGAGTCCTTGTCCTTCCCTGCTTCCCCTCCTGCCTCGGCCTCCCAGCCGGGCTGGGATGGGTTTACTGGTTTGGAAACGCCTCGGTGGGGGGTGACAGGCCTGAAGACAATGCTGGCAGCGGGACAGCTGGGGATGGAGGGCTTGGGGACAGATGGGGACTGGAAAAGGGGAGGTTTCTAACCACTGAGCAGCAGGAATGGCACAATGGGAAAGGACTGGCCCGCTTTCATCAGGGGCTGGTGGGAATGGTGGCTGGAGGAGAGCATCCCCTCACCTCCCACTGGTGTGACACCTTCAGGGGAGCTGCCATCAGGTCTCCTGTGGGACAGGAGGAGTTTGTGGCACCTCCAGGCTGTGTTGCAGCTCCTGGCAAAGCGACCAGACAGGCAACTGCTGGAGAGGGGACAGCAAAGGGCTAGAAAGATGATGAGGGGTCTGGAGCATCTCTCTGATGAGGAGAGGCTGAGGGACTTGGGGCTTTTTAGTCTGGAGAAGAGAAGGCTGAGGGGGGATCTGATCAACACCTATAAATACTGAAAGGGTGGGTGTCAGGAGGATGGGGCCAGTCTTTTTTCAGTGGTGCCCAGTGACAGGGCAAGAGGAAATGGGCACAAACTTGAATATAAGGAGTTCCACCTAGACTTGAGGAGGAACTTCTTTGCTGTGAGGGTGGCAGAGCCCTGGCAGAGGCTGCCCAGAGAGGTGGTGGAGTCTCCTTCTCTGGAGACATTCAAACCCCACCTGGACAAGATCCTGTGGGACCTGCTCTGGGTGGCCCTGGTGTGGCAGGGGGTTGGAGGAGATGATCTCCAGAGGTTCTTTCCAACTGCATGTGATTCTGTGACCGGTGCTGCCGTGTTCTTCCTGCTGGGAGCAAGGATGCTTGAGATCTTTGCCCTGGCAGGAGAAGCATCCAGGAGGGGTGACTCGTAGTCTTCTCACATGGCAGCAAAAGCCCACTGGGGCTCTACTGGGCATCCCTGGGTGGCCGGGCACCCTCAGAAACCTCCCTGTGTGTTCAGGGAAACCAGGCAGAGTGACCTTGTGCTGGGACCTTGCCAGGGCTGGGCTCTTCCCCGAAACCAGGCAACCGGCTTGACCCTCTCTTGTCTCTGGGTGGCTCAACTTACGGCCTTGTCCTCGTCCCCAGGTGCTGTGACAAGAGATTGTGGACAAAGATAGATTTAAGCAGGTGCAAGTCCATCACCCCTCAGGCGTTGAGCGGCATCATCAAAAGGCAACCGGTCAGCCTCGACCTCAGCTGGACCAATATCTCCAAAAAACAGCTAACGTGGCTCGTCAACAGGCTGCCAGGTGAGCATGGGTTGGGGAGGGGACCCTACCTCTGCCACCAGCCTGCTCCGAGGCCTCCTGAGGGCTGGACCAGATTGAGCGAGGGGCTCTGCACCCTGGTCCCCACCAGCTTGAAAACTCCCGGGTGCCTGGATCCCATCACCCAAGGAGCAGCCAAAAGTGATAGGGTTTCCCACAGCTCTCCATCAGGGAGCCCAGCTCCACATCCCACCCCAGGCAGGGATGGGAGATGGTTCCTCAGGTTCCTGGAGAAAGAAGGTTTGAGATCTGGGACATCTCGGAGCTGACCCAACCCATCTGACTCGTTACCTCTCTCCCTTTCAACCCCGGCAGGCCTGAAAGACCTCATCTTAGCGGGCTGTTCCTGGTCTGCGGTCTGTGCTCTCAGTACCTCCAGCTGCCCCCTTCTCAGGACCCTCGATCTTCGGTGGGCAGTAGGAATCAAGGACCCTCAGATCCGGGATTTACTCACGCCTCCAACAGATAAACCCAGTAAGACATCGGGGAGTCGGGAGGAGAACGGGAAGGGGATGCCAGATTGGGAATGCTCCAATGTGGGGGGGGGGCAGATAGTCCATGCTCAGCTTCTCCTCTCCCCATTTTGCCGGGCAGAAAGGGACCTGGGGGTGTTGGTTGACTGTTGGCTGAACAGGAGCCAGCAGTGTGCCCAGGTGGCCAAGAAAGCCAACAGCATCCTGGCCTGTGTCAGGAACTGCGTGGCGAGTAGGGCCCGAGAGGTGATTGTCCCCCTGTACTGGGCACTGGTGAGGCCCCACCTCGAGTGCTGTGTCCAGTTTTGGGCCCCCTACCATAAAAAAGACATTGAGGTGCTGGAGCGGGTCCAGAGAAGGGTGACAAAGATGGTGAGGGGTCTGGAGAATAAGTCTTATGAGGAGAGGCTGAGGGAGCTGGGGGTGTTCAGCCTGGAGAAGAGGAGGCTGAGGGGAGACCTTATTGCTCTCTGCAACTCCCTGAAAGGAGGGTGTAGAGAGATGGGGGTCGGTCTCTTCTCTCAAGTCACAGGCGACAGGACGAGAGGAAATGGCCTCAAGTTACACCAGGGGAGGTTCAGGCTGGATATTAGGAAAAATTTTTTCACTGAAAGGGTTCTCAGCCATTGGAATGGGCTGCCCAGGGAGGTGGTTGAGGCCCCATCCCTGGAGGTGTTCAAAAGCCGGGTTGATGTAGTGCTGGGAGGTCTGGTTTAGTGATGATGCTCCTTGTTTGTTGTGTGGGTGTCTATTTTTGTCAGTCGGGTTGACGGTTGGACAAGATGATCTTTAAGGTCCCTTCCAACCTAGAAAATTCTGTGATTCTGTGATTTTTTTTTTTGGTTGTTCTTTGCAGGTCAGGACAATCGCAGCAAACTCCGCAACATGATCGATTTCCGGCTCGCCGGCCTGGACATCACCGACGCCACGCTGCGGCTCATCATCCGCCATATGCCCCTGCTCTCCCGCCTCGACCTCAGCCACTGCAACCACCTTACGGACCAGTCGGCCAACCTCCTCACGGCCGTGGGCTCTTCCACCCGCAATTCCCTCACCGAGCTCAACATGGCAGGTGGGTACCACGCTCTGGGGTGGCCCCAGTTGATCTCGCCACCACAAAGTGGCTTTGTCCTCTCCGCTCGCCCTCCCGGTTGGATGTTAGAAGCTCAGCTCTGGTTTTGTGGAAGGTGTCACAGCATTGGCTGACTGGAAGGTCCCAAAGAGTGGTGCTCAATGGATTCAAATCCAGCTGGCGGCCGGTCACTTGTGGTGTGCCTCAGGGCTCAGTGCTAGGACCATTTCTATTTAACGTCTTTATTGATGACCTCGATAAGGACATAAGGTGTAACATCAGCAAGTTTGCAGATGATACCAAGCTAAGCAGGAGTGTTGACTCCCAGGAGGATAGGGAAGCCCTACAGAGGGACCTAGATAGATTGGATCACTGGGCCAAGATCAACGGCATGAGTTTCAACAAGGGCAAGTGCCAGGTCCTGCACTTGGGCCACACCAACCCCCTGCAGCGCTACAGGCTGGGGGAAGTGTGGCTGGAGCTGCCTGGAGGAAAGAGCCCTGGGGGTTCGAGTTGCCAAAGGGCTGAATATGAGCCGGCGTGTGCCCAGGGGGGCAAGAAAGCCAATGGCATCCTGGCTTGTATCAAAAATAGTGTGACCAGCAGAAGTAGGGAGGTGATTGTGCCCCTGTGCTCAGCACTGGGGAGGCCACACCTCGAGTGTTGTGTCCAGTTTTGGGCACCTCAATACAAGAGAGATCTGGAGGTGCTGGAGCGAGTGCAGAGGAGGGCAACGGAGCTGGTGAGGGGGCTGGAAAACAAATCGTGTGAGGAGCGGCTGAAGGAGCTGGGGCTGTTTAGTATGAGGAAGAGGAGGCTGAGGGGAGACCTCATCACTCTCTACAACTTCGTGAAAGGACACTGTAGAGAGGTTGGGGCTGGTCTCTTCTCACAGGTAATTAACAATAGAATGAGAGGGAACGGCTTCAAGCTCCAACAGGGGAGGTTTAGATTGAACATTAGGAAGGAATTTTTCACAGAGAGAGTGGTCGGGCATTGGAACAGGCTGCCCAGGGAGGGGGTGGAGTCCCCATCCCTGGCTGTGTTTAAGGGCCGTTTAGATGCAGTGCTGAGGGACATGGGGTAGGGGAGGACTTTGTAGAGTAGGGGAGATGGTTGGACTCGATGATCCCAAGGGTCTCTTCCAACCTCTATGATTCTATGATTCTTCTTCTTCTTCCTCTTTAGGCTGCAATAAGCTGACGGACCAGGCCTTGCTCTACCTGCGCCGCATCTCCAACGTCACCCTCATCGACCTGCGAGGTTGCAAACAGATCACCCGCAAAGCCTGCGAGCACTTCATCTCGGACCTGTCCATCAACAGCCTCTACTGCCTGTCCGATGAGAAGCTGATCCAAAAAATCAGCTAGAGACCCTTCCCGGGGCCAGACTTGAGGAGAAGGAAAAGAGCCCATCCTAACCCTTCTCGGAGAAACCGTTCCTCCAACGTTCCCCACCTCGCCCTCCGCGTCCTGCCGCCTCCCTCCCACCCGATTCGGCAGGGCAGAGGGGCCGCCGCTGGCCTCGCTCCACCGTCCTTCCTCCTCCTCTTCTTCTCCTTCTTCCTCCCTCCTCCTCCTCCTCCTCCACTGGGACTTCTGCCGATGGAGATGTCCCGCCAGGCTGGCCAGTACCAGAGGAGGAACGGGCGAATGGCAAAGGAGCCTTGGGCCCGCAGGCTGGTGGCCGCTTCCCGGGCGGAGCTTGTCATTGAGATCTCTGTGCGGAGAAAAATGGGGTGCCCTCTTTCCTGTCCCCCCTCCTCCATCCCGTGCCACCCCCCCAAAGCTTTTCCCCCTCCTCCCCGTCGTCTCCTTGAAAACACTTGTCACTTCCCCGTTAGCACAAAGCTCGAGGGTCGAGGTCTCTCCAAGGAAGCGGGAGCAGAGCTGGAACAAAACTTGTGTGTGTGTCCCCCCCCTCAAATCTGTGCCACCACCAGATCGG